CGAATGCTTTGGCTCACTTTCATATTATATATGAGAATGAAACCAAAGAAGAAAAGAATTACATGAATAGTTAAAAATGATTAAGCCGATACTTTGACTCACTTTCATATTATATATGAGAATGAAGCCAAGGAAGAAAAGAAATACATTAATAGTAAAAAATGAATAAGCAAAAACGTTGTTGCGTTTCTTGGTATATATGAAACAATCTTGTCGTATGCGAATCCGATATAACAATTTTTGTACAGATTCGGCTAACTTAACAATGTTCTTGTTTCTCGATGATAATATTGAAATGAATGGTGGGTGGTGAATTTTTTAAATTTTGTCGAATATGTCTTGTAGATGATTTTTCAGTGTAATGTCGTTGTTCGAAGTTGCTGTTTGAATAGATTTTTGCAGCAATGTTGTTGCATAATCCTTGATCTTCGGGACATTACTAATTTTGTGAATATATTCTACTGATGTATATATGGGTAGACCGAGTGCAGCTCGAAGTGCTTTATTTTGCATGATCTGCAATCGTTTCCATACTTTATCATTAGCAGTCAGTAGAATAGGATGACCATAAATGATGTTTGTGCGTACAATTGATTTGAAAATGTTTATCATCGTCTTGTTGTTAGGTTCATATGCTGTTCTCGATAAATACCGAAGAAGACTGATCCGAGGAGCAATTCTTGTTTCGATATGATCGAGATGACTTCGCCACTTTAATCCTTTGTCAATAATTACACCCAAGTATCTTGTATGTTCCAGTGATTGAATAATGGTGTTGCCAACTGTTACTTCCACTGGATGTTTGTACTTCTTTCTTGGATGTAAGCTGAAGTGAATCAGCTCTGTTTTCGTTGGTTGTAATTTTAATTTCCATGACTGGCACCAACTTTCAAATGCATCTATGGATTGTTGTAGTCTGAATGAGAGACTTGCCATGGTGTTGGATGAAGTCCATAGTGCTGTATCATCGGCGAATAACCCATGTTCTGTATAAGTCGGTATTCCATTCATCGAATCTGCCGTATATATAATATATGATAATGGAGATCCTTGTGGAGTACCGCTCTTTAAATTGAATGGACGAGATAAAACATTTTCGATTTCAATTGCAGCAGTTCTATTTTGTAAGAAAGAGATAAGATAATTAATGATGTAACGAGGAAGACGATAATCATTTAATTTGTATATCAAACCATCGTGTCATACTGAATCAAAAGCAGCTTTGATGTCGAAAAGAATGACAGCTGAGTGACGTCTTCGGCTAGGTCGTCTTAGTTGTCCTTCAGCATATCGTTCTAATCGCACGATGTTGTATACTGTGTTTTTTCTTGGTCTGAAGCCGGCTTGATGTTGTGGTAAGATGTTTCGTCGTTCAAGTTCAAGCATTAGACGTTGTTTGATTATTTTCTCCAGTAGTTTGCCTAAGCCACTAAGGAGACTTATCGGCCGATAACCAGACGGGTGTTGTTTGTCTTTCTTCGGTTTCAATAGAAGAATGATATAAGCTGTTTTCCACTTTGTTGGAATATAACCGTACTTCAGAATTAAGTTGAACAAGTTGGTTAAATGTTTGGTCAGTAATTCTGAAGCGTTCTTCAAACATCTGTTGTGAATGTTGTCTGGATCAGTGGAACTATTTCGAAGTTGTTTAATGTGATATTTAACTTCTTCTACTGTGATTAGCTTCCACTTGTATGTGTTTGGTGGGATTATAAAGCAATTCTTGATGTTGTTTGTTTGGCGTGTTACTTGATCATGAAATGGTAGCGAATCGGCAGTAAGAGAGTAGACTTCATTTTCGAAGTAATCGGCAAATAGGTCTGCTTTCTCCTTATCTGATGTTGCTGTTGTGTTGTTGTATTTCATGCTGCTTGTAAAAGTTTGTTTGATTCGTTTGTTATTAAACTTACGAACCGTCAGCCAAACTTTATCCGAATACATTTTCTTTTGACATAACGATGACATTAACTGATTAAAGTTGTCTCTTCTGTCATTTCTAAGTGAATTTGTTAATAAGTCTTTGGAGTTATAGTATTGATGTTTATGTTGATAATCTCCAGTCTTCTTCCATCGACGAAAAGCTTGATGTTTTTGTGTAATTAACCTCTTCGTAACTTCACTTATCATAGGTCTTGTATTCGTTTGTTTGGACAGTGGAATAGCTTCTTGTGTTGCTACTAATATGGAATTAGTAATAAACGACGTATATTCTTCTATATCTAATGCTGAATCTAAACGACGATCATTATTCCATAGCATCAGTTGTTGATCTAATTTGCTTCGAAATTTTGACCATTTTGCTGCTTTAAAATTAAATGGCATTCTTGGAGATGCAGGTTTTGGTTCAGCTCCAATGGAAATGTCGAAGGTTAATGGTTTGTGTCCGCATGATGTACCAATTGGTGGGTGTGTTTCAACATTTGATGTGAAAGATAGAAGTGGCTGACTACCTAAAAGCCAGTCGAGCTTAACTGCATAGTCATTCTTTTCAAATGTTGGAGTATCATCATCTACACCTTCAATAAAACCTTCTTTAAATAATTCTTGCAGCTGTCTTCCTCTTGCATTTGCCTTGGCTGATCCCATGTGATGTAATGTTGCATTGAGATCACCTACAATAATACAGTTGTTGTTGATGTTATACAATTCTTGAAAGATATTAAGATCCATCTTTGCTGTTGGTGGAACATAGATGGAGGCTATCAATATCGACTTGAATAATTGTGTTTCAACTTCAATTGCAATTATTTCATTCATCTGTGATGTTTTGTTAAGTACTTCTCGACATTTAATGTGTTGTTTCACTGCTAATAAAACTCCACCACCAAGTTTTCCTACTCGATCATTTCTGAAAATGTTATAACCCATCAGAGAGAACTTGCGTTCACTCTTAAGATTAGTTTCATTAACAGAGATGATGTCGTATTTGGAGAACCTGGCTAGGAGTTCATCTTTGTGTTTTATAATAGAGTTTATGTTAATATGACATAAACTAATCATCGTTGTTGCTTATTTTGGGGTCTTTGTTATCAAATGTCGATGCATCTAAAGAGCTGTTAGGAGAGCGAACTCTCTTGGTTGACTTTGTTGCTTCTTTTTGTTTTCGTTGTTGTTTCGATGTGGCTACGTTCGTGGTTGTTGTTGGTTTAGTTGAAGTATCAGTAGATGAAGTGGTTGATTTGGCTGTTTCTGTATTTTGTTTTTGTTTGTTCTTAATGTGCTTAACTACTTGACCTTCTTCATTTGAATCAGAATCAGAGACAGTTAAGGCATCTTCATGGTTGTTGTTGTATATCCCGATCGATTTTTTGATTTTCTTGATCTTCTGTTGCAGCATCTGCAATAACCGACTGGTTGTTTCTTCGATGATTTTTTCCATTTTTCTGCTTAATACATTAATGATTTCATCGAATAATTCATTATGTAGATATTCTTGTTGACGTTGAGAAATGTTTGGTAGCAATGGAAATTCATTAATATCATGTATGGCTGGTGCTGTTGTTGTCGGTTTATTTGTGGATGAATATTGATTTACTAAATTGTGCATTCTTTGCTCTTGTTCTTTATAAGTTGCACATTCATTTGATGTTGCTAAATGACTACCTTTACAATTGCAGCATTTCATTGCATCACTAGCAGCAGTACATTGATCGATACGATGATTATCACCACATCGAGCACATATCTGCTGTTTCGTTTTGCAGTACTTTGCTACGTGATTGTATTTAAGGCATATATAGCATTGCACCGGCTTTGTATTTTGCATTGCAGCTTCGGCTTCGAAATGCATTGCGTCGACTTGTAAACCAGTACGAATAAATGTATTTCGATTTTGCGGATCATTAAATGTAATTTTGATCGTTTTCGTCGGTATGTTTTTTACCTTATTTGTTAGTCGAATAACATCAACAACATCAAGGCCAACATCCTTCAATGCTTCAGTTATTCGACTTTCAGGAATTTCTAAGTCGACGCTTTTAACAAACGCGACCTTTTTCGTATCTTTTATACGTTGAATGGATCGGGGCACATATACTTTCGCTGTAGCCTGACCATTTGTTGCAAGAATTGATGCTAGCTCATTTAACAAACGATTAAACGAACTGACATCGCTTGCATATAGTGTGAAAATTCCTGATCGACTTAGCTGAATATCTGAAATTCGTAAGTCCTTTAAATGGTGCTTGATGACGTCATTCAATTATAATTTATTTAGCTTTACGCCCTCTAGAATTAGAGGAGCGATGCTAAAATTTGATTGCTTGTTCAGGCCAGCCTTTGCTACTGTAGAAGTCTTTGTTCTCGGACTATGACTCATCGCCATTGTTCCTCGAACATCACCTACTGCTGTTTGACCTTGTATTGCATTAATAGAATTAATGTAATTTTGTCCTTGTTTATTTCCACCTGTTCCTTCCTTTTTTGGAGGCATAATTAAGATACACCTGACGTAAAAATACCTGGATATAATTACCTTAATTAATAATTTCAAAAATAATTTCAAAATTGGGTGTAAAATAAATTAATACGAAAAAAAAATAATCGATAAGTTGAACAAAGAAAATGTACGTAAATGACAAAATAGAATACGTCTTATCTCGACCGTGTAAAAATAGCGAATGATGAATAGCAGTAAGATGAGTTTCGTTTCGGATCGAATTTTTGGTGATATTTCGGTCCGAGCCGAAATACCACCGAGATTTGGAACCGAAGCGAAATTCTGGCCTCTCAGCTATATTCGATAAGAATACTTTATACGTGTTCATGCTCAAAACTTAGATATCCTGGTGTTTATGCGACCAATTTTTTCTACATGCGCTTAAACGCTTAGAAAAGACTACTTTGGAGCGTTTTTTGCAAAATCGTGTCTGCTTGGGCGGAAGCTTTCGGACTAAAAACTTCATTCTTCCGCTGATTCCTTACAATATATGTGATTAGTCTGAAAATCACTTGGAATATGTTTTCGAAGATGTTCTTTCAGATGCACTGTATTTCAATTTTGACATCAGAAATAAATTTTTCGGATCTCTGGAAATTCTGAATGTGTTAGAGCCAAATATCACTAGTAATATGTCGATTTTGTTGATGAGTATTGCTACAACGATGTTCCCTACGGTCTCCGTATAGATCAATAAAATTCATTTCTTGTAATGAAAATAATAACAACAATATTATATTTATATATTTATCAAAAAGAAGTATAAGAATAAAATTAATAAAAATACGTATGAATATTTATGATTAGATGCTACATTGATTTTTTTCTGTAGCAATACATCGTGTTCAATAGAAACTGTCAATGACATCCAATTATGAAACTGATGTATTTTACTCTCAGTTGAACTTGCTTGATCACTATTTGAGTAACATTGAATACAGTATTTTTGATCTTGTTGTGATATTTTATCATGAGAATTTTATTGGGTTAATGTAACATTATTATTAGTTTCTTCAAAGATTCGTTCCAGAGAATTGGATCCAATGTCGGAAGACAATGGTCGACGATGATCGATATTGTCAAATGAATAATAAAAAAGTGATGTATTCTGTGATATACGCCATGATTGATCATATTCGAATAAAATATTTTCATCAGATTTATTGATTAATATTTTTGTTCCATTAGAAAACATAAGACCATTAATATCATCAAGTAAACCAAACGATGGTATAGATAATTCCCTAAACTTTTCTTGTTCTAATAGTATCTCAAGTTCACAAAAGTCGAATGTTAGACGAATATGTGCACGAAATCGAAGATGACTTCCATGAAACCAAATTTTAAATGTACCATTAACTTTACATTTAATTTTCATATGTTCATCTTCATAAATAAGCATCGGTACAAAAAATTCTTCATCCGGTAATTTAATGAGTTGTGTATCAATACGAATATCGAGAAATTGATACATCGGAAAAAGTTCAAATTGAATATGTTTTTTAGCTTCTACAAAAGCAATAATACCAATCATTGAATCTGTCCTATTATTGTCACCATTAGATGTAAGACGTACTTGAACTTCCAATTCATTCGGTTTTGGAAGAGATAATAATATATATTCACCTTGTTCTCGAAATTTATATGACATACTATTGAGTATAACAAAATAAGGATTTCTATGCATTTCAATTAATTCTGATGTCATGTTTTCACATCGTCCTGCAGGACGATAATGATAATAAGCTTTGCACATTGCTTCACTCGTTAAAGAATTTCGACAACATGACCAATACGATAGAAAATCAGAAAATAAATGACCAAACATACCTAAACGTTTTTCAAACCAACCGTTTCCATCTGGTGAAATAACATCAAGTGTTCCAGCACCTTCTTTTCCATGTTCGATAAATTTACCTTGTTCATCATAACAACATTGAGCACCAGACCAACTTCTATCCGATTTTTTTCGATAACAACTTCTAGCTTTTCTATGATAATGACATGTTTCTTTAATAGGTTTTCGACCATCACATCCTTCATCAATTCGAAAACCCATAAATTCTTCAAGCCATGGTTGTGATGGCACTTGACAAGGACAAACTGGAATTTGTTTAATATATTGATTTGGATCACCTTGCATCAATAACCAAGCTGGACAATAAGCAGCATATAATGATGTTGCAGCTGTAAAGATTTTAGTACCTATTAAAAGAGCCGAATGAAACCATTGACGAATTTTTTTCATTTTAAATGAAATTTGTAATGCATGAACATGATCATTCGGATCTGTTTTTACAGGACAAATCATATTATTACCAATAGAAGATAAATTAAAATAATCTAATCCTAGATCAATACGATGTTGAGTATGATTATAAAGAATTTTATTATCAGATGATAATTGTCCGATATAATCATATATAACAATCTCAAAAAGATATTTACATGTAATAACATTCGATTGAAGTTGAAGAATTAATTCATTATTATTAGGATCAACTATTTGATGAGTGAGATTACCATAATTACTTAATATTAATTCACCATGATCTTCTGATACATGAGCAAGAAATTCAGTAGAATCAATCAAAATTTTATCTTCTCGATCATATAGTTCGATTTTTATTTTAATATCATGCAATTGAAATTCATATCTACTATAAATTGAGTCTCGAAATGGAGAAATTTGTAAACTAGTAGATGTTATACATTGTATATCACTAAAATTTCCTGATATATGAAAAACAAATTGATCCGGTATACCAATATTTGAATCATTAACAAAACTTATTACTGCAGGTGAAAAAGATTTTTTTAATTTATAATATTTAATGTTATCATCAGTATTAAATCTAATTTGTAAATGAATACATGATGAATTCTCTAACCATTGTAATTGATGATAGGTAAATAAAATAAATGAATAAAATCCATTCGTAGTTAACATTGCTTGATAAGTATTTTTATCTGTACAATTTTTACTATTACGTACTTGATACCATGTGATAACAAACGCCCAGAACATTCGTTGAGCAGCTAATTTAAAAAATCCATTACGTAGAGTTTCACTTATTTGCGAAAGAGTATTAGGTTTGTTCTTAAGTAATATTTCACGATAAAAAATCTTACTAATTGAATCGTCTGTGATATTTGTATCAATCCAATACGTTGTGACATATACCAAATCTTGAAGAGAAAATTGATTGGGTGCTTTAAGCGACGATAAACAACTATTATTTCTTAATATAATTAAACCATGACAGGAAATACGAATTTGATCATAATATTGATTAAAGAAAGAATATCGAATAGAGATTAATATTGGATCAGTTATATTGTTAAGTTCTTGTTCAAAGATTTTATCATTATATTCAATACCAAATGGAATAAAATTTATAATATCAATAGTGCCTATCAGAGAGGAAAGATATAAAAGAGCAAAAAATCTAAACATTCTCATTGTGGTACCAGTGCGATGATACTATCATATTTATATACAACATTATAAACCTTGATTTTTTTTTTTGTCAGTGAGTCAAACATGAGTGCATGTGTCACTGAGTCAAAGATAGGTATATACGCCAGCGCAAATTCTTATCTTTTTTTAAAAGATTATATAACTACGAATGAATTATTAAATATGGTCATTGAGTTCGTTTATATTTGATATTTGTTAAACTTATCAGTACATTGTTTCACTTAGTATAATAATTACATATTTTGGTATTAACTAGAGATAATGTTTTTTTCTTTTTGAATTAATATTCATGAGAAATTTTTTCATACGTCTCTGATCATTATAAAGTCTTGTTTGATTAGCGAGAAAAATTTATTTTATACAAGACAAAAATAAATAACGAATTTTTCTATTATTTTTAAAATATTTCATTTAAATGAATAAAATTATAACATATGTCATTGTAGCTATGAATAATAAAGTTAAATTTTAGTCAAAATTAATACTCAATGTAAGAATTTCATTGATTCTATTAAAACTCTGTTGTCAGATTATGTTTCGTATAATGTATTGAATATATTTAATATTAGTAAATTTATGCGAACTAAACTGCATGTGACTTTAAAAGCGACTGTAGACGATAATATCATATTGCGTTTGAGAGCTCACGTTACGTATCATCATACTAACATCTTGTTGATTAAATTACTATAGAGAAATTTTAAATTACCGATGGACGTCTTAATATTTTATTTCTGTTAAAGCTAGAATAAAGAAAATTTATGAGACATGCATTAATACGAATCGTTTCTCATATAGTCATTAAAAAAAACAAGTTAGACATACATAGCGCTACCTATATAAATAAAGAAAAAAAAGAGAATATGTAATCTACATCTTCAGATGACACCTATGCTAATATAACATTTGTAGAAAGAAAATTATAAAAATATTGCATTTTGATAACATTAATAGTCAATTGCTTTTTCGTCTTTTCACTAGTATATATTGATTGATTGCCTATATAGAGATACACAAGAACAGTCAATAAACTTCATAGCAAGATAATTAATCTAGTACTACTTTCTTCAGATTTTCTCTTTCTAAATAGGAAATTGAAAATTTCGGAAGAGCAAACAGTTATTTTTTAAAGTATAGACACATAGTTTGTGGTACAATAGCCACAGGGCACTGACTTCCTTTTGTTTCCAACCCTGGATGAAACATTCAATTAATCAGGATAGTTATTAAATAGGTAAGGAAATATATAATGAAATAGTATCTATTAGATATTTGCTAAGAAGGACGAATTGATAAATTTGTTTTGTATAAAAACTAGATATAACATATAGAGTACAGCAGAGATGGCAGTTTCTGAAAAAAAGTTTTTACAGTTCTGATCATTATCTGTTATATTATTTGAGAAATAATTGTGCAGAAAAAAAGAAAAGTATTTTTGATGGCTTTTTTAAATAATAATTTCCATGTTAAATTGATTGTTGACAGGTTTTCATTAATCAATGTTGGTGACACCATTTTGATAAGTAAAACAATACTATGGTTCAATTATTCTTATGTAGTTAATGAAACAGAAATAAACCAAATACTTTTTCTATCTTGACACAATTATTCATTTTTCACATAACTAAACAACGTAATTTAATGTCATTGAAAGACGGATCTATCTTATTCACTATGAAGAAATAACATATTATTGTGACGTGATGTCAAATTGAGTTCGCATGCAACACATATTTTCCGTTTGATGAAGAAAATGTCGAATAATTAGTTCTTTTCTTTTTTTTTTTGTATATAGATATTCTATATATTAAAAGTATAATGCTTTTTCTCATTCTTTTGCACGATGTTTTTTCATTTTATCAGGCTTTTCATCTTAGAAAAGAATATAAGGAACAATGTAACACATAGGAATAATAAAAAAGAATTTTTTCAATTTTCTTTTTCTATTATAAAACGGTAGGACAATGTTATATTCACTTTTAACATAAATAATCAATGAAAACTTGATTTGAAATAAATTTTAAAAGAAAAATATTTCTTTATATTATTGTCATTATTAATTGATGATCTATATAAGTTTAATCAAAAACATCAAAGATCTTCATTGAAAAGAAATAGATCTTCGTAAAATCGAAATATTTCAATGTCTATTAATCGAAAATATTTTTTATACATGCGTCAATATTGTCGATTATTATCATCAATAAAAATTCTTTTATTAATATTGATTTTCTTTGTTATTATTCTTCATAGTCAAATTTTTAATAAAAATAAACAATGGTGTGATCCAGGAAAACCATTATGGTGGTTTTGTCCATGGCCAGATGCTAGAACAATTTGCAGTTGGGATGATCATTTTCCAATAACAGATCAACAAATTCGGTAATTTATTTTTATCTTTTCTTTAAAGAGTTTATTTTAGAAAAAATGTTCACTTGCACTAACAGAATAGAATGTTTATGTATAATATAGAATTTTCTTATTCTTTTTTGTTTTGTAATAATTAAAAATTAATTATTGAATATTTTTCTGTAATTAATAAAATAGTTTGACGATTTTTCATTACTCAGATTTATGTGATCATTAGATATAAATGATTGAAATTTTGAGTTCTACAGAATCAAAATTTATGATTTTGAAATCCATCTCCAATAATTTTCTCTCTTATATTTCAATTTCAATTCTGAATTCAAAAAAAATTTTTTCGTAACAGTATAACGATATCAAAACCGTTTTATTTCTTTTTCTTCTGCTATTTATATATATGAATACCTTTTTTAATATTATTTTTTGTTCGCTACTTAACATATGAAGAAGGAAATTGCTCATTTGTAAGAGTAAAAGCTTGATTATTTTATTGGTGTCACACTAAAATTGACTTGGAAAAGAAAAATTTCTCAACTATTCTGACTCCGATAAAGTCTGAATCCGATGCAAGACTAAAAGTTACTGATGTTAGAATGCCTAAAAATTGAAAAGAGACATTTCACTTAATGTTTTTAAATTCTTCTTTCTTTTGTTTTTTTTATTAGTTCTCCTGAATATTATGAAAAATTATTTTCATCTCTTCCTAAAATTCAATCTCCATTTGAATTTAATAATTCAACATTTGTAAAATGTACTGAAACATCAATAGATATTTTAATATTTGTAATATCAAAATGTTCTCATGCATCAATTCGTCAATCAATTCGTCGAACATGGGGAAATACAAAATTACTTAAAAAATATTTTCCTAATATTGAATTAAAATTATTATTTTTAGTTGATATTGATTCAAAATCAGAAAAAAAAATTGAACTTGAATATAAATATCATAAAGATATAGTACAAGTAAATAATCTTCCTGAACAATATGAATATGTAACAGAACGTGAAGCAGCATTATATGAATTTATTAAATTACATTGTAAACAAACAAAATTTATATTTAAAACAGATGATGATATATTTATAAATACATTTTTATTATTATTATCATCATCAAAAAATAATTTTCAATATTTAACTAATAATAAAACAATTTATTCATTATTTGGTTTTCCAATAGAATATGGTTTAGTTGTTCGTTATGGTATTGATCAAATTGGTCAAAGATATGTTATTACACAAGATGAATATTCATGTCCAAGATATCCAATATTTTTATCTGGTTTTGGTTATTTAATGTCATTTAAAACTTGTTCTTTATTAATAAATGCATATCAAACTGATTCAAAACCATTTCCATTATCAGATGTTTATTTTACTGGTTTATTACCTCAAATGATGAATATTCAAAGACAAACTATTTTTCAAAATGTTGATTATCTTTATCAAACAAAATGTAATGAAGAATTTTTTATTTCAAAAAAAAATAATCCATTTGCTTGTGCTGCTTCAAATGAACATTTTATTCAAAAAGAATCAGATGGAGTTAAGAGTTTTATGAATGATTATAATTTGTATTGGACAAAATTAATAGAAAAATATAATACTTTAAAAATCAATACATAATAGATCAATTTCTAGAGTTTTTAATTGTATTTTTTCAGCATGTATATATATATATATTAGAATATCTTGAACAAATAAATATGAACTATGGTTTTTATACTGTTTGTATTTTTTTAATTAATGAATTATTTATTGAAGTAAAAAATACTATTTTTACTGGCTCAGCAAAATATCGCAGCTATGAAATAGAGTTGTCAATAAACTCTAAAACCTCTAGTTGTTTATGTATTAAAAAATCAAAGTACTATAAATTATTCGTTCTCATAGAATAATTTTAAAGTAGAACAAAGTAATAGTAACAAAAATATGAATTAATTGAAAATGATTTAAAACGGATACTCTTTCGTATTAAAAAAAATGACTCTCTCAGGTGAATAATAATCATTATAACTCACAAATTGAGTTATTGATTTCTTAAGTGAGAAATATTTTAGTGGCATACTTGTCCTTCATTTCGATTAATAACGCTGCATTCAAATTGTTTGTAGCCGTTAAAATATAGTAATAACAGTCAGAATAGAAATTAGTCACGTAAAAATTACAAACGTCTACGTCCGTTATAACAAAGAACGCAACGACGCCACTTACGCCCGTAAAAATATCGCTTACAATGAGAATACGACTCGTTACGATACAGAATTGTCCCGTAATAATACAGATAGTGATATGACCATATATTACATTAGATCAGATATGTTAAAATTACTTTGCGAAAAATGTTTCATAGATTGTAATTGATATTATTTAATGTCATCAAGAATGAGAGAATTCAATGAAAAATTCAAAGATCAAAGATTTTGATACATTATTATATTCACGTTATGTATAGATATCGATTGCGTTACCTTGAAATCATTAAAATCTTCATCCCTACAATCGAACCGAACTCAAATCAATTTTTTGAGACTCTTGTTAAACCAAACTGAACCCGAATCTGAAAAATTCGGTCCATTTTAGACTAGGAATGTCGATTTAGCATTAGTATTAGGAAAATGCTAATACTTTTGCATTAGGTTAAAAAATTAACTTCATGCTCTTGTGTTAAAATTAAAAAATTAATTTTATACTTAGACATTAGTATTAGAAAAGTATTGGCCTGATATTAATGCCTATAGCTCCCGAAAACAGAACACTTTTGCTCTTTTATTGGGAACAGCTTCCCATAACTGAACAAAAGTGTTCTGTTTTGGGAAAAAATTACCATAACGGAGCAATTTTGTTCTGTTTTTGGAAGCTATAGACATTAGTATTAGACTAATACTTTTCTAATACTAATGTCAAAGTATTAAATTAATTTTTCAATTCTAACACAAGAGTATGAAATTAATTTTTTAATTCTAATACAAAAGTATTAAAATTTGCATTAAATAATACAATGCTAATGCTAATGCTAAGCCGATACCTCTAATTTATCCATTATTACATTTATATGTAATTGGAGTTCGTCAACAACTTGGACAAAAATGATTACAATACTTCGTGAAAAAGAAAAAAAATTCTCAATATGAGCTGATCATTGATCTCTTCAAGTATGGATGAAAAACAATATTGACAAATCATCAGAATTCGAAAATATGAACTGTATCGATTAACTATTAACATAGTTCATTTTCTTTTTGATTTTAATTATTTTCTCTTCTGATCTCTTAGATTTTTATTTATCACCTTTATTTTATTGAGAATCACTAATAAAAAGAAAAGTTTAAAATATGTTCTGTTATTTCTGTCGAATATCTCGATTGGATTTTTTTAATCTGAGAAACAGTTGAATAATATTTTATTAAAAATTAGAGTTTAAAAAAAAAATTATCGGACACCTTGACTTAATATTTATTAGTATTGATATTCAAAAGTCAGTTATTTAATCTTATAGATATTTGAAAAGTACAATTTGTTCATGACATAATTTATCCAATGGTAATACTAATGAGAAATCGATTGATATATTATTGACTTATTTTTATCAAATCTCATCGATTAGTAAAATAATGTTTGTTACATTTTTTTTGAAGAAAATAATCGATTTATTCTTCATTCTTAAATAAATTGAGGTCATTTAAACAATAGTTAAACTTATGAAAATATATGATCATTATATAAGCTTTGTTGGTGTACAATAATTTAAACAATTAAATTTGTGAAAGATCTACGATGCATTACATTTTATTGGATATGATATTTTTTATTTTTTGAAAATCTTAGATTTTCTAGAAAACATTGTCTCACATGAATATATCTTATTATCAGAAAGCTCATACGAATTGAAATAATAATAATTTTTGAATGTCCGAAAAGCATCGATTTGGTGTCTTACAAAAATACGATAAAGTATATGAAGAGTAAAATTCTTTTATGGGCTTTTATAGAAAACAGAAAATTCTATTCCGAAACTGAGAATGCTTTATAATCAAAGAATATGTTGCTGAATGATAAATGATTCGAAATTAATATTTTTCATTACAATATGCCAATAGAACAAATTAATATTTTATTTTATATTTATTAACTTTGAAAGAAAAATAAATAAATAAAACGAATAGGTTAATCGTGATCAATATAATTACATTCTCGATTATCACTGTGGAAAATTTTGTAAAACAAATAATAAATAATTCATAATTGAAACTTGTTTGAGTCTTCAATTGAATCGATATACATTTTGACATTTGTTAAAATATTTTGAATTTATTGAAATTTTTAATGAATAAAAAACAAAATTAAGTTAGACAAAGAACAGATTTCATTAATGGATGAAATTGATCTGGATTGATTTGATTTAAAATAATACTTCCCATTTCATAGATTAATAATTGATAACGAAGAAATTGAAAAACAATAAATTCTATAGCTCGTATTGCATCTTTTTTATCATAAATAACATTTAAATATTTCCATAATAATGTTATAAAGAAATTATGATGTTCACTTATTAAATGTCTATCAATAAGTTGCAATGATAATTGATAATCAGGTAATCTTGATAAATTAATAATAAACATAAAAGCAACAAGTACTATTATTAATATAATTGGATATTGAATAAAACAATTAAATGAATAATGTATTTTTGACATTTGTTGATATAAATTAGAATTTATCCATTTATTTAAATATAAATCAATATTTGAATTTTCAATAAAATTATCTTTTAATATATAATGAATATGAATTAAATGTGATATATTACATTTTATTAATAGAATTTGATCTTCAAGATTTATTTGTTTAAAATGTGGAATTTTTTTATAAAATTGTATTAAACTTCGAAATATTTGTTGTTTATCATTGATAAAATCTTTTAATGTTGAATCGATTAATGAAGAATTATTAATAAGAATTGTATCATAATCAAAAATTGATGTATCATATGCATGTTTTATATTATTAATTAATGACCAATCATCAAATGTTAAGTTTGAAGAATAAAAATTTTTATTCATCGTAAATATCTATGAAAAAAACAAAAACAAAAAAGAATTATTTAATTAATACTATCGTGTATACAGAAAATCAGCTTATGAAATTCTCAATAGATTATGAATATGTCATAAGAAATATTATTTTTTATTTTCTAATGAATAAATTTATATTTCTGATATTCTTAATAAATTAAAACCTTAATGATAATATATACCGGTTGTTTATATTGAATGAATTGATTTGATAATAAATTTGATTGATTGTCTATTTTTTCAATAGTTGAAATATTCGAAGATTTATTCATTTTGTTTTGTTTTGTAGAAAGCCGTTGTAATTTTCTTACTCGACATTCTTCTTCAGTTCGTATCCATTCTTTTCTCATTTTAATATCAAAACATTTTTTTAATCGACAATAAGTACAAAGACGACGAGTTTCAACTGTTATTTCACATGAACTATTATAACGACATTTCAATTTTGGCTAAAACATCATATATATGTTAAACAAAATTGAGCAAAAAAAAAATTAAAGTTAATTGTCCAACAAAAACAATTGGGTTTACACTATATACAATCCGATGATTATTTTTCAATTTTAATTGTTTTTTTTTTTTTTGTAGCAAAGATATAATTTTTGATGCGGAAGATTTACAGTCTGTTGATTATTTAGAAGAAGAGAGGATTGATGTGATATAGATGTGAGTCTTTTTCACATCAACTCTAACTCTCACGTTCTAATTACACATCGTTTATTTCTCCTCTTTCATCTAATCAACAGAAAGAGTATATTCTCACATAAGAATAATATTGATGTAGGACATATTTTAAATGTACTCAACGGACAATAAATCATGCATATGAATAAAAATGAATCGTGTTGAAAATTTGATAAATGAATAAAAAACAAATATATTTAATTGATTTTTTCTATTTTTGTTTTAAACAAAAAACAAAAACAATTATTTTCATTCTTGAAATTTTTTATTTTTATTCGACATTTTTCTTTTTCACATTAACATCAATATATATTCAATTTGATTTATTATTCATAGATTTATTTTAAAATAAATTAAATTAATCAATTTTATTATTTCCTTTATTTTTAAAAGAAATAAAAAATTTAACTTAACTTTCATAGTCAACTTCACTTAATTGAAAAGTTCTGAATGAGATCAATTATTTATTTTTGTTTTAAGACTGCTTACCCTATATCGAAGAGCATTACGTCGAAAAAATGCTTTACAAGAGTCACATGAAATTTGATCAAAATTATATCCATGAGCTGGACCACCACATACACGACATTCAAGCATTTCAATAGATTCCATTTCATATTCTCCTTCGATTATATTAATCTATAAATAATTAGGTCTAATATTTAAATAAAGATTTAAATAAACAAACCATTTCTGTTGATGAAACCATATGGAATTCTTCTATAACTTTACTCTTCAAATCAGACGATGATAATTATTCTTCCATACTTGTTTTATATTCAAATTATTTCAAATAATAAAATAAATGATGAAACCATATCTGAAACATTGTTTCGATCATTATAATCTATTCTATTAAAATAGAAATTCAATTTTAAAGTTTCTATTATTATTATTATTATTTTTCTCATCTATAAAAGGTTCTATCGAAAAAAAAGGTTCATAGACTCTTATCTATTTTTCATTTATGTGTAATCCAACTGGTCTGTCCTTACGAAAAAAACAAACATCACCTGAAATTGTTTTTTCTTTTGTTTATTCTATGTTAATACGTAGGAATATTTGAAAAACTAAAATATCTGTAACCAACGAATGTGTCACTTTATTTAAAACAAAATCGAATTCCACTTGAAGTTATTGTTAATAAATGAAACATCAAATATGACCTTCGTAGTCAGTTTTATTTTGTTTGTCTTAACTTGGTTTTTTTGCCATAAGCGTTACTGGTTTATACAGACATAAGCACACAAACATTCATAGAAAAATATAATAAAAAAAAACTTCGAATAATATACACTGTCGTTCTTTTCTGTTTAAAAGATGATTAAGACACAAGAAAAAAAAAACATATGAAGAAAACGAAAATAATAATCTCAACTACTAGTATTTGGCATACTCGATAAGAATAATAGTTGATGTTTTACTTAATATTTATATGTTACTTTATTTTAACAAATATATTAATTAAATCTTTTTTTTTACTAATGGAAATTAATCGATTATCTACACTTTCAATAGTAATATAACATATGAAATCAATAATCTATGTTGATCGAAAAGATCAACTATATCTGTTTTTAAAAAATATTTATTTTGTTCCCGATAAATATTCTAGAAAATAAATTTTAAATCGAGGAATTCTACTAAGAATAATATTCAATAGATAATATAATGAAATTTTTTGATGAATATTAAAAAAAAATGGAACAATCAAATGACTAAATTATCTAGACAAGTTAAACATGATTTTCTATCAAAAATGCATTTGTTTAAATTAAACAAAAAATTGTATGATTTTAATGTTTTAATATTGGAAATACACGAAATCTTATTTGTCTTGATTAATGAAAGATTAAAAAAAATGAATTTTCTAATTTAAACAACTTTTATATTTTGTACTAATAGGTAAAAAACAAGAATTTTTAATGGATGAGTCCGTAGATTTTCTTTTTAAAGGCGTGTAACATTTATCTAAAGTGTTTTTGTTATTGCATCTGTCCTTTTAGTACGAAATATAAAAGTTGTTTTAAATTTATTTTATGTTTAAGTAATTTCTACTCTTTTTTCCAAAATTTTCTATCGAACATATTCATTCTAAGAATCTATTTTTCGTATGTTTCTATAATTTTCCAAAAATTTCCGGAACATTAATGTTTCCATCAGAAATCATCTATAAAGGGCGTCCAGTAGAGGTCGTCGGGTCCAAAGTTTTCGAATCCGCTGAACAGAAAAAGTTCAAAACTGGATCCGATCGTGTCCAGAATCAAATCGACAGACTGTATCGTCCAGTACAGAAAGGAAACTTTGAGAAAAAGTCTTCTTATTCAAATATGCTGCTTCTTTTTTATTAAATAAATCTCTATCAAAAATAGAAATAAATAAACACACATTTCATTAAAAAAATCTAACCTATTGCAATGTTTTTGTTGTTTAAATACATTCAATTTTAATGAGCAGAAAAAGAAATGAAGTTCAATATCAATGACACTCGAAAACTGCTCTACAAAATAACAATCTGCTCATGAAGCATAATCTTCAATTATTTCAACACCGTATTCACATATTCAACTGATTGATTCAGTTGATTCCCTATTTAAAGACGTTCTTTAAAACAAACTAGCCATGAAAATTTTGCTGAAAGTTGTAGAAAAAACAAAGGGAAACTATTCCTAGTAAGTGTCTGAACGTTCAGAAATGTTTGATTCCCCTTCCCTCTATCCAAATTTGGCCGGACTCCGCGTTCCCTTTACTTGAATATTATTTATGGATGTACTAATAACAACATTTGACTATGAAAATCATAGTAGAATTTCGGCTAAGATTTAAAAACGAGCAATTTCATTTATTTATGGATTTTTATTACAAAATAAAAAAAACTTTTATTAGGCAAGAGAATAAGAAAGAATAAAAAGAAAAAATGATTGTATAACATAGACGTATTTTACATCATAAAACAGATGCAAAATACATTCGAATGATACTTACCAACTTCATTATGCATACCGAGTGCAATATGTAAAAATAGATATTAATACATATCTAGTTGCAACGTCTCATCGATGAAGATTACATGAAGTCTTCATTTATTTAGATAAATACTTTTTTTATTTAAACTAAAAATACGAATTTCGGATTAATACATCCATAACAGGTGATAATGACATCTATTGTATGAATATTAATAATGAGTTTTAGAATTTTTTTGTTCTTAAAGTATTGTTTGAATTTTCTTCAGAAAATATCATATAAATCGGAGAAAAGTTTTTTTTAACTTAAATGAATTGTAGAGAATTATACAAACATTTTGACTGGTAGTTCTTAGTTAATAGATAATCTATTCAATGACTCATTCATTTATTTCAGTTATGATTAGAGACGAAAAGAAATAATTTGCATTGAAATAATATTTCATTGTCAATCTTTTCTTTTCTTTTATTAAAATTAAATTGAATATTTTTAGAAAAATGTTTTCATTTGGTGCATCAACAAATACGACTACGGCAAGTGCTAGTCCATTTGCATTTGGTGGTAGTTCGACTACGACTGCTCCAACAACAACAACAACAGCCTCTGCAAATCCATTTTCATTTGGTTCCAACAGTACGACAAGTGCACCATTTGGTGGTGGTGGCGGTGGTGGTGGTACTACTGGAACATTCGGATTTGGTGCAGCTCCAACAACAACAACAGCTGCTACTGGTACTACACCAAGTATGTTCTCATTTGGTTCAGCAGCTGTAGCTCCTTCGACTACTCAAGCATCTTCATTTACATTTGGATCAACTCCTGCAACATCAACAGCTCAGCCATCTACATTTACATTTGGACCAACAGCTACAGCACCTACTACACAACCATCTTCATTTACATTTGGACCAACGAGTACAACACAACCGTCTTCATTTACATTTGGATCGTCAAGTACAGCACCTACGACACAACCATCAACATTCCCTTTCGGAGGTACAACTACAACTACTGCAACTCAACCTTCAACATTCACATTTGGTTCAACACCTGCTGCTACTGTTGCTGCTGCGGCTCCAACTACAACAACTTCTTCATTTACATTTGGTGCAAATTCATCGACGACGACAACACCATTTGGTGGTACTAGTACCACCGTACCAACATCCTTTGGAACAACAACAGCAGCTGTACCTTCAACAGGTTTTTCATCGTCATCTCTTTTTACTTCAAGTAATCCATCAACAACAGCTTTTCCGTCAGCTATACCAACAACTACAAATGCACCGGTAATCTTTTGTTTTTTTTTAAATTTTCTACAATCAATAAAAAATAAGAATGCTTCGCTATTCTATATATTTCTCTATTTTTAGACGTCATCTTTTTTTTCGTTTACTGGTGCTCCAACAGTCACAACATCGACAACAACCGCTACTCCATCGGCTTCTCTTTTTTCGTTTGCTAATCCTTCGAGTAGTAGTACTACTGCTACTGCTGCTCCATCAACATTCCCTTTCTCAACAACACCTGCTGGTACAACAACGTCTGCTCCACCTTCAACATCTTTTCCATTTGCTACACCATCAACAACATCATCAAGTTCGACAGGAATACCATCATTTCCATTCTCTACTCCGTCTGCTACTACAACGGCAATGTCTACAGTTGCTCCTTCGGTTAGTTTTATTCATTCTTACCAGATGATTTTTCCATTTTGAACTCTATCACAGCAAAGAAATAAGATTAGCTTTTTTTCAATAGTTATTTAAATACTATTATACTTCTAGGCAACTTCATTATTTCCATCAGTAATACCTACTACAAGTACAACTGCTACTGCTGCTTCTACTACAGCGACTCCTACTATTTCATTTATAACACCTATAACAACAACAACAACAACAACCAGTACTACATCAAGTGCTCCTTTGTCATTTACCACTTCAGTAGGAGCAATGCCAGTACCTACTTCAGCTGGTTTTCCTCCTGTACCAACAACAACAACATCGACTTCATCATCAAATAATGCTATTTCGAGTCTTCTTGCTCAACCAATAACTACAACAACATTTCCGATATCTACAAGTACATCAAGTACTTCAACATTTCCTGTTGCATCAACAACAACAACCACCGGTGGATTTGTAGCACCTATAATAAGTAGCGCAACAACAACTACTACAGCAACATTAGTAAGAGATTTTTTTCTTCAATTTTCAAAAATGATCTATTGTCTTTTATTTAGTCAACTATACCAACAATAACTCCAGCAACAACGACAACAACAGGAACAACTAGTACTGGTCTTGGTGGTGTTTTTGGTCCTTCATCAACAGTTACAACAACTAGTGCATCAACTACAAGCGGAACTAGTTCATTAACAACAACAACACTTGGTTAGACTTAATCGACATAAAAAAAAAACAACATATATTTCTTTTTTTTTTATTTAAAGGTTCTACAAGTATTATTCAAAAACCAAAAGAATCATCTGAACCAATGGATCAATTATTGCCACCACAACTAAATGATCTTGTTGAAAATTTTATGTAAAATAATATATATATATTTTTTTTTCATTAAAAAAAAATATAAAAATATTTTTTAGTACAATGTTATCTGGAACTGAACAATTATTAACTGATATGGAACATACATCAACAAGCAAATTTGTTAATGTTCAAGAACAAATTGTACGTGTACAACAACATGTTTTAGATATTCAAAATGATGTTCAAAGAGATGAAGCTACATTTGCTCAAATAAATCAAGCATATCAACAAGTAAATATAGATATTCAAAAATAATTATAACTATTCGAACAAAAACAAAAACAAAAATTTTTATTTTTCTAGGAACTCTATAATGCAACAATTTGTAAATATCTTCGATCACTTCCATTAGGTGCTGATATTGAAGATCGTGTTGTTAATAAGTAAATAATTTATCTATTTATTTAAATAGAATATTATTTTCTTTGTTATTTAGTTATTTAATGCAAAAAGTTGAAGATATTAAAATAAATTATAAACAATGTCAAGATGTTTTAGATTGTGCTGAAAAACGTTTACAAACAAATGGTTTAGGTGTTACTACTGAAGGTTAATTTGAAATTATTCATTTAATTTTTTAAATATTTATTTTTCTTTAGATTTGGTTGCAACAGCAAAAAATGTTTATACAGGAATGATAACAGCTGGTTCAAAAGCTAATCAAACACATAAAATGGTCGAAGTAAGATTATTCAATTGATAGTCACTTTTTATTTATTTAATCTTCTAGGATCTTAAATATCGTGTTCTTGGTCATCAAAATAATTCTAATGATGCTTAAATACTTGATTATTATTATTTTTTGTTATTTTCTGTATATTAAAATAAACTAGACGTTTCATCTTCTCAATACTTCAATATTAGATTTTTATTTTTTTTCTCAAGTCTAATTTAGTTTCAACAACTGTCAATATAAATAAGATTAATTCTATGAGAATAATGTTTCATGAACAAATATTTAGATATTTAGTTGCAGTTTTCGTTGGCATTGTAATTGAGAATGTATCCAGTCGTTCGAATTCTGTAACTATTTAACAAGTGACAAATTTAAAGAGAACATTGGAGATAATCAACTCTCCATTTCACAAAATTTTTCAATTTTTCTATGCAGAAAACGCTCCAAAAATAAACTGATATGATCTCTAATGAGTTCAGTAATTCGATAGATATTGAGATGTTTATCGAATGACTTGATCTATTCTGAAATCATCAAAAAGGTTTAATTAGTTCGTGTATTCTTATCTAGGATTGATGCTTTCTCTAGCATTTCTTCAGTCTTTTAGCTGTTGCATTGTTATCGAATCGTGTGTTTTTAGAGTATTTATATAATGTATGTAGTGATTTTTTTTTCTGAATACTTTAACTGAAATATGATATCAATGTTTGATTTAAATTTAAAAATCTTTTTATTAGTACTATCAATATAAATATGTATTTATTAGTTAAAGTGAACTGTGAAATATATGCAAATTTTTTTTTCACGTTTTTTTACATCATTTGATAGAGCGTGATCTGCTGATCATGGAAATCTACTTTTTAGCCTAAGCAAATTCTTCCTTCCAGTCGAAAAATGCGAAATACTCGAAGGGTGTCGTTTTTCGAGAAAAACACATATTCTTCACTTTGTTTCTTTTTTCAGCTTCTGAAAATAATTTTTTCAGATTCATCATCAAAAATTGAGTATGAAAAAAGTTGTTAAATCGACTCCAGATCTCAAACTCTATTGGTAGTGGCGCTTCGAATCGTGTCGAGTCCACTAGGTATACGTTGATTTTGTAAACCTATCTAGTTTTTCTACATAAGCGATAGAGTCAAATATTTTATCTCATTCGACTCATCATACCCATAGCCAAAAACGTACGCATCACTTTTTTTTCTTTTCTTTCCTTTGTTGAGAAAACTTGTTGTTACTGATACCATATCAGTTTTAGGCGGTATTCAATGGTTTTCGATTTCAAATAAGCTTTTACTCACAAACTAAGTACAAATTCAGAATCATCACAAAAAACTGAGTCAAATGAAGTATCTTTCAAGTTAATTTGATAACTTTCATTTTTTCTCATTTTTCCAGGTGCCGTCGTAGAACTGAAATTATTGTATACGGATCAAAAAATGAAAGTTATCAAATTAACTTGAAAGATACTTCATTTGACTCCGTTTTTTGTGATGATTCTGAATTTGTACTTAATTTGTGAGTAAAAGTCTTATTTGAAATCGAAAACCGTTGAATATACCCTAAAACCGATATGGTATCAGTAAAAACGAGTTTTCTCAACACAGAAAAGAAAAGAAAAAAAAAGTGATGCATACTTTTTTTGACTAGGAGTATGATGATTCGAATGAAATACAATATTTGACTCTATCGCTTATGTGGAAAAACTAGATAGGTTTACAAAATCAACGTATACCTAGTGGACTCGACACGATTCGAAGCGCCACTACCAATAGAGTTTGAGATCTGGAGTCGATTTAACAACTTTTTTCATACTCAATTTTTGATGATGAATCTGAAAAAATTATTTTCAGAAGCTGAAAAAAGAAACAAAGTGAAAAATTTTGCACATTTTGAAAAATGTGTGTTTTTCTCGAAAAACGACACCCTTCGAGCATTTCATATCCATCGACCGGAAGGAAGCATTTGCTGAGGCTAAAAAGTAGATTTCCATGATCAACAGATTACACTCTATCAAATAATGTAAAAAAACGCGAAAAAAAGATTTTTTACTTGAATTTTGCTTTGCCGGCACCTTATAAATTCGTGACAGATTTCGGTAGATATGTTCTTGAAACATTTTTATGTTTCTTAGATATAAGCTCGAAGTGGAATTTATATATTATATAAAATGTTTTTTCTACCATTGACTGTTCAAATTGCAAAAAAAGAATACAAACATCGTTCTGTTTTTATTGATATTCTCGAATATTTAACAATCACATAGCAAGTACTGTCAAGTGGCGCCCTTCGATTCATCAAAGTATTCAAATAAGAATCTACATAAAATATAACAATAATGAAATAAAAGAACTCAATAAAAACTTCTAATATCTTACTTTGAAAATATATTTTCTTTATTTTCTGAAAATTTTCCCAAGAAATAAAATATTTAATTCTGATTGGTTGTTCGATTCTCCCCAAAAAATATTGCTCATATAAAATAAAAATCTATCATATTTATTCGTTTTGATATCAATTGAAAATATTTTTCATCAATAAATTGTTGTCAAAAAAAAGTAATGGCAACATCAATGCAACATGATCGTCGAACATCGATGAAAAAAAAGCCAGCTGTTCCAAGTTATGGACCTGGAAATTCTTTATATTCTACAACTGAATCTTTAACTGCACAAGATATTGAAAATTATTTTCGTATTGGTCCTACTCGACCAAATTCCGCAACAACAACAACAACAACAACAGATACAAATGAACGTAAAACTGTTCAATATCTTCGTCCAACATCATTTGAACAACAACAAAAAGAAGTACAACAATTAAATAAAAATAAACTTGATATTATTCCATATGCTACATTTCATGAAAAGTAATTTTATTTCTTTATTCAAAAACAAAAAAAAAATAATTTCAAATTTTTACTTTTTTCAAGAAAACAATTATTACCAACTGATCAAAAAGCTTATGCTCGTGATTTTCAACAAAGATATGATAATGAATTTTTACAAGTGTGATAAAAAATACTTGATATAACTTATTTGAAAATAAATAAATATTTATTTTTCTTTTTCAGCGTTGGAATAAAGGTGTTTTAGGTGATAATGATAATGAAACAATAATAAGTAGTTCAACAAGTCAACAATTTGGAAGTACAACAGCTAGTTCATCAATAAATAATCGTTTATCTCAATTAAATATTAATCGTAATCAAGATCAAGAACATATGTCTGATATTGAAGGACGAACAGATCCTGATGGTGTACAAAGTGAAGCTGATAAAGAAGAAATTCGACAAATATTTGGTATATCACATGCATTAGAAACATTTGATGATTATAAAGAAATAAAACAATGGATTAATCAAGATACAACATTACCTGTATATGGACAAAAAGATAAAATTTTATCAATTATTGAAACAAATTCAATAACAATTATTCAAGGAAATACAGGATCAGGAAAATCAACACAAATTCCTCAATATATTTTAGATGATTATGTTAAACGTTCAAAACCAGTTAATATTGTTGTAACACAACCACGACGTATTGCTGCACGTTCACTTTGTGAACATATATCACATTCAAGAAATTGGCCTATTGGACAAACTGTTGGTTATCAAACAAGTTTAAATAAACAATGTTGTGAATTAACAAGAATTTTATATTGTACAACTGGTGTTCTTTTAGAAAGATTAATTTTAACAAAAACTTTACAAGATTTTACACATATTATTCTTGATGAAGTAGATTTTGAAAATTAATTTTTTAAAGAAAAAACAAAAAAAACACCGAATTTCTTTAAATATTTTTATTTTAGGTTCATGAACGTGATCAATCAATGGATTTTCTTTTAATATTAATTCGTACATTATGGCTTCGAAATTCTCAAAATGTTAAAATAATTTTAATGTCAGCAACAATTGAAATAGATAAATTAGCACATTATTTTCGTCAAGTTATTAATGGACAAATTGTTCCAGCATATCAATTTCAAATAGATGATCGGCTTTTTGATGTTCAAGATATGTATTTAGAACATATTCAAAATTATGGTCTTGTTAGTTTTTTTCTTTTTTATTTTGATTAATAATAAATTTTTATTTTTTTGATTTTAGTTACCAGATTTAAAATTAAGTGAAGCACGTTTATCTCGTGAAGCAATTGATCTTGCTGTTAAATTAATAAAAAGTTTTGATGATGAAGATAGTATGGCTGGATGGGATCATACAAAAAATTTACCTATTAAACGTGCAACTGTACTTGTTTTTCTTCCTGGTTTACTTGAAATTCAAACAGTTCATGAAGCTCTTCGATTTCCACGTGGAAAACCAGATTCAGCTAAATTTAATTTAGATGATTATGATGAATGTCTTAAATTTAATTATGATATTATTCCGTTACATTCTGATTTATCTATGGATGATCAAATGAATATTTTTACACCACCAAAAAATACTTTTAGAAAGGTATTCTCATTTTATATTTACTTTTTACAGATCTATATTCAAAAATTTTTTGATTATACTAACATCGATGTTTATTGAAGTCTTGAAATATTAATATATACCTTTTTTCTAGCGATGTATTCTAAAATAATTCATTGTATATTAATTAAACTGAATCGGTAGTGTTCGGTGGTTAATTAATTGAAATTGTAGACTTAATTTTGGTATTATTGACATATATATCGAGGATAGAGATACAACAATTTCATATTGATTTTGATTTTAAGACTTTTTTTTTTAAAAAGTTTATTGGTTGTTAATTGATTTATTTAAATAAAAATTTATCAAGACAAAAAAAAGATGACAATTATTTCGATCAATCTTAATATCAAATAGAAGAAATTAAGAAGAGGAGAAGTATCTGATAGATTCTTTAGTATGAGTGTGGATTTCATATCGACATATCTTCAATAAAATGTACCGGTTTTTTATTCAGATATCAATACATTTTTAAAATTTTTGTAAAACTTAACAAAATCTCAGTGTCTGAGAGATTGAAATTCTCTAATTGAACCTCTATATCGTATTTCACAAATATTTTAAGATTCTTCTGTGTTAATTTATTTTTCTGTTTTATTTTAAAAAAAAAGATTATTTTGGC